AGATGAATGCAATAAAGCAGAAGGCCAGAAAGAGTTTCTAGTGAAGGCACTCCAAGAACCAAGTGGAAGCATCCCCGTCGCCAGCATTTGTGAAAGACGTCCGTGGGCACTTTGAACGCGTAGCAGCCCTTTCGATTTTTCGAATTTTTACCAAAACAAAGCAATATTTCTGTTCTTTTCATTCTTATCGTGGATAATGAGTCTCAAGCCAGTGATTTATGGCTGAAATAGAATCATGATTTTTCCGCGAAGGATTCCTTTAAGTCGTGCCATACCCACGCCGCGGGCATGCACCCCACCCCCTCCCCCTCCCCAGCGCTTGTGTCTGCCGTTTAGCAGAGGCATTAGCGCTGAAGAGGGCAGAACGACCCATCAATGCGGAAACTGACGAGCAGAGGACTGGTCCTTTGTTTTGGGTTTCGAGCCATTTCTTATGGGTTTTTCACTGGAAAGTGCGAATTCGCACAACTTCATTGAGGTTCTTCTGCTACATGAAAATCGTGGTCGAGATCTACAGGTGAACCACGGTTCAAAAATATTCAGCTTCACCCTTCTCGGAGGACTGAGGGGACTATCACTGAGTGCAGATTCAATGACAAAGTGTTCGGCCTTGCAGAAGATTTCAAGCCTAGAAATTTGCCGGATCGTGTAAGCCTGAGACCGTATATTTTAGTCGTCATTCAGCATCCTTTCAGGAAGGGGAATTTTCGAATTTCCGAAAAATTCGTCAAGCAAAGTCAGAATTTTTTATCGCAAATAAATATCGGAAAATATATACAAGTCACTAGTTCTGCAATGAGTTGGATAGAACCAGGCTCTCTCGTAAATGTGCACTTTCCCGTTGTTCTCGTGGTGGTGGCAGAGTTGTCACCGAACTTCGTCGATAGGAACGTAAAGTGCGTAACGATCCGCGAACGTCTGCCGAATTACTTCTCGCATAAATACTCAGTCGTTGGCCCAGACTGCTTCGCGACAACTGTAAATATCAGACTGTGTCAAATAGTGGTGGCTTACAGGTGCAAATAAATATAGCCGATCAGGTTTGTTCGGACGTGCTCCTTTTCTATTCATTGCTAAGCTTTTATGTCAAAAAGAGTCATCGCCTAGACTAATTTCTTTTCTTGCCAGAATAGTATACTTCTCTATCTTTAGTACGTGTATAAGAAGAAGGATATAACTTCTTGAACTTTCGACAGTTACATTCAGGGAGGGTTGGAATCGTTAACGCTCGACGTTTAGAAACTAACAAGTTGACCTTGGAAATTGGGGATTTCGCTGTTATCATGTTGAAAATAGAAATTGAAGCGTTGTTTGACAGACTCCAACTTCTCTCTTCGTAGAACCTCGGCATTGTTGTAATTATAATGTAATTCCTTCTTCCAACGAGGTTGTTAGGTGGAACTTTATTAGTGGCCTGACGTTTCGACGAGATCGTCTTCCTCAAGGCCCTGAACATGGCTTGAAGCTACGAGTCAGGATTTAGGCAACCAGCAGAAGTTCTTCCCAGGGTGCGATGATGGGCTCTCCAAGCACTGAGGGCGCGACACTGTCGCGACTCAAGACCCCACATTGTGTGCTGCGGTGCTGCCAGCATCATCAACCACGGCATGCGTGGTCTCTGGCGTCGACCATCCTATATCTCGCGCTCTTCCCCTCCCTCTCCTCGCAGCGCTGTGTCTCTCCGTCGTACTACGGCCGGCTCCCTAAGGGAAATTTAGTGTTTTCTATGGTGCTTTTTGCTTTTTCTCCTCACTAATGTTCCTCATTGCACCCCTTGCCTAATGTTTGAACAAAATAAAGCATCAATCCAGTCCCGACTCGTGCCTTTAAGGTTTCAGATATGTAGTTTAGATCACCAACCGCCTCCTCTCCCTACTTTTTCTTACGGAACGTTAGGAGAAGAAGCGAAAACCCCAAACGAGGGTAGTAAACCACCCAGTCCACCACCGGGGCAGCGCCACTCCATGTAGTTATGGTTAGTAAGTGAGACTGCGCAGTCTTTGTAAAAAGGCAATACTTTCGACCTGCACGTCTCACTCTTTACATCAGTAGCTCACAATGTGGCGCAAACGACAAGAAATCATTTATGGAGGATAGGCACTCTTAGCAGTTTTTTCATTTTGGGATTCCGTGAATGCCTCAAGCGCTTTCCTCAGCGGAAATCTCAGTCTCGTATGCAAGGATTTTGCACTTTACATCAAAGTCATTTCCGTGATGCTCTTCAACTAAATGCTTGCCGAGCGGTGTTGTTATATTGCCGCGCCTTTTTCCAGCAAGATGTTCCTTAACGCGTATTGCTAGAGTCCTTCCAGTTTCCCCTATGTATGTTGCGTTACACACTTGACATTCAATCTGGTAGATCACGCCACTTTTGGCACAATCTCCAACTGAACCGTTCGGACATGTAACGCAATGGTCTGATATACACTGCCTATCGTAGAGTCTATTCGTACAAGCTGGCTATTGTCATTAGGAATGCTCACTAAGACAACATCATCGTCCAGCTGCGCACGAGCAAGACACCGTTGAATTGCCGCAGTTACTCTATCAGATATGAATGGTATACATAAAGGGACTTTGTTCTGGTGTGGCACGCTCGCTTGCTCAGTGTGAGCCCTTCCGTTATGTCGTCATACAGTGTAGTCTCGAAACGGCTATAGCAGTCGTGTAGATTCTTGCCGTTCTGTTGCACCTGTGCACACGTTTGCAGCAGTTCTGAACATGTTCCTAACAACTGAGTTCTTCAAGGCACGAGGATGTGCAGATGTGGCATGAATCAAGATGTTCTTGGAGCTTGCTTTCCTGTGCCGCTTCACACTGAGCGAGCCATCGACACTTTCACCCGCGCGTTAGCGTTGAAAGCCAACCATTGCGTGGAACTCCTCTTGTAAGTCTCATCCATTTCGGACTGTGTTGATGTTACAATGAAACAGTCATCTATGTATCCACAGTACATCATTGGGAGCGCTCCCGCACTGGTTCTTCAGTTCTGCTCATAAAACAGATGGCAAGCACTGGAGCCAGACGTTGACTCAAAAGCTGCAAAAACTTGATATAAGAGCAGTGGCAGGGTTTCACACAGGGCTACGTGAGCCAAGATCAAACGGTACTATACGTGTCTCTGTGAGTGATAAAGGAGGAGAATTTGTGGTTATGCACACAATCTCTCGATCGTGAAATTACTGAGCTCCACCTGGGGGATGCATCGGTTTACCGACGCGCGCGACTGAACAAGAATTCCTATCCTGGTGCAGACGCCTGTATAATGCTCGGATGGTTCAGGGTTAGCCTGCGGGTCTTAGCGGTGACCTTCTCAGCAGACTTGACAATCCTATCTTTCCTGTCGTTTATAGCCTCTTGAAGACCCACAAACTTGCTACCAGGGATATGCTGTCGATGTCACCAGACCCTTTCAAGATGCGACCTATCATATGTTGCATAGGTGGTCCAACTGATCGAATTCATGTTCCTTAATGGCATTGTCAGCCAGGGGGTAGGGGTACGCCCACCGACAATCTAATCACTCGATCGCAATCGCAAATCTATACGTGAGTGATTAGATAGCAGAGAGAGCGTAGTGTTGAAGAGGGCACAGCGATGAGAGTCGCATCAATGCGCAAATCAACGGGCAAGGAAGGGGTCCCATTTCTCGGGTTTGGGCCGTTTCACATGGTTTCTTCTTCATCCCTGCTCTACCTTCCACTTCTCCAATTAGCTAACTTTTCATCGTGAATTCTGCCTTTACCCGGATTCTTCCAATGTCTCGCCTGATACGAGTCCGAGACAGAGCGCACTTCTTTCCATGCCCCGACTTTTTCTCCATGCGACCTTCCTTTGGCCGTCCATGGAGTGTGGTATTCGTAAGCTTTTTTTTCAGAATCTTTGCATGTCGTTTTTTTGGGAACTGAATCTTTGTACTTTGTCACTAGTGATCGCATCTGAATATTTACGTTGGAAAAGAATGCAAGAATTTTTTGTGGAGGAATCCTTTAAACAACGTCAGAGATTTACAAGAATTCTGTAACACTTTTAAATTTCCGGTTTGTGGTATCCCACGACTACACATGGTTAAGAAATAATATATGGTCGAGGTCATATAATGCAGACAAGTGTATGCAAATCCATGGCTAAACGTTGATGCTACGCACGTACCCGTGGAAACTTTCGAAACAGCATAACGAAGCACTTTCGGCGGAAATGCTCTGACGAGAGGCAAAACAGGATGAAGTTGATCGTTTTCCCGGTGACGACGAGACTGTTGGTGATGCTGAATGGAATTTTCCATATGGAGAAAGCTTCCCATTACCTTCTATTCGGTAAGAACTTTGGAAAAATCAATGTACAACTACTTTCAGCTCCAAGAGAAAGCCACCCCACCCTCCATCCCCCCCTCCCTTCCAAAAAAATTTTTGTACAGGAAACCTGAATATTGCATAGAACGTTGCTCCAAGGTGCGCATAGCCAGCAAACAGTTCCCAAATCACCATCACTGCCGACGGCCCTTGAGTGAGCGAGAAACATAAGCCAATCGCTATCACGGTCACCGTAACGCGACGACGTTGACGCTAAAGTGCTCATTGAAAATTTCACACGAAACTGCGATTCTTCTTGATGAACTTACATGTTGGTTTCTTGTGATTGAACCACGGAATGTCTCCAGAATGGACAAGTCATTGAAACGAAGCTCTCGCATCATAAGCATGTTCAGAAGGATGACTAGAAGTATCGGCGCAAAAACCACCTAAAATTTCGAATTTGTTGGTGTTTGTGCAGGACAAGAGTACATTACCCATATTAGCACATACACATACACGTAGCTTCTGTGAAATATGATTTGAACTATTTCTAGATAATTCGTTTCTGCCGTCAAGACCGCGCGGCTGTCGAATGCGTGGCGCAAACTAAATTGATCAGCTACGCCAGGCACAAGGTCGTAGGGTTAGGCACTAGGCAACCGTGGTTCATCAAAGATCTAGTCCCCGGCCGAGGCTGCAAACAGGCCTCAGAGACTGTCCTTGCCGACTGGAGTCATGGCTTTGATATACCTGATTTGATTGCCGTCACACTCCCCCTAACCAAGTATCAGGTCCTGCAAGGGCTGCCCGCTTCAAGAGAAAGTTCATGGGTTCACGTATTGACCAGAAATTTCCGACTAGTCTCTTCGTTTCTGCTGAGTGCGCCTTGGTACATCCAGTAACACGATCTGTTGTATGTAGTTGAGACAGTATTCGCATTGTGGATCGATTGTCTCTACGGATTATCCCGCCCCGTGGGTTATGTAACCACAGAGCTAGCATGATCTCATCTCGAAACTGGTGAAACGTACTAGAAGTGCATTGAATATGGTCATGACCCGCATGTAGACCTTTTTCACCTCGCTGGGAAGGATCTGAAATCAAAGAACTATAGCCATCATGAAAATAGAAGTGACAAAAATTCCTCACCAACTCTTTTTTGAGAAACGTTCTAGGATGTTTCTCTCCAGCATAATAGCAGAAGTCGATAAGTTGACTACCATTGCAGAATTCCATTAGAGTGCAGTCATATTCGAAATGATGATAAAGAGTGAGTAAACCTGAAAAGCTTCAGCGCTCTCCAACATTACTTTTAGACTGAAGAGATTTTCTTTTCCTTCCCAGAGCTGCATGCTTACTTAGCATCCATTATGAATTGATGCGGGGAGGGTCGGATTCCGTGTGTGTGTGGCAAATGACGCCCTTGCCTCCATACCATTTCAACCCGTAAATTTATTGGTAGTGTATCTTAAAAGGTTATCTGTGACGAATACACCTGGGAGGAGTAAAATCACCCGCAAAAAAAGTCACTGGAGTCACAGGTCGCATTCGAATTGATGTGGTATTTTATTCAAATTTAGACAGGAATCGCAAATGAGAACATGGGAGCAGAGCTCACCATAGGGAGTAATGAAAATTTCCCTGCAAGGTCATCCATGGGAGGATGGAGAGACAGAGCGCTATCAGGAGAGGAGAAACGCGAGAGTGCGTTTCGCGAGAGGGGGCAGAGGCCAGGCACTTAAATTAATATAAGTGGCAGCGGTTGCAGCTCTCTAGCGAAGATCTTAGCAGCTATGTCACACACTTTCAAGTCACGTTTGTACCAGTGCTCATGTAAATAGTTGTCCTGCTACCACACTAAAAGGAAAAATTTATCTAAGTATCTGATCCTGCGCCTTTGAAGAAGCTATTATCAACGATTGGTAAGGCCCATGAAAGATAAAAGAAACAGGCTCACAGGATTGTGGGCCATGATAAAATTCCGTCCCAGATGGGGATCGCAGTCGCAACTCTCGCTTATCGAGCAAGTCTCGTCCAGTTTTGTTGGAACCCAAAATTCTCTTGAGACTTTCGCAGGGCGACTGCGGCTCGAGACAGCAATTATTTCAGAAAAAAAAGTCAAAATAAGCATTAGTGGTGACAGGCACCCTCTGCTCGGATCCTTAAATTCGACTGAAATGGTTTCCACAATACTATCGTCGAGCATTATGCTTTTCTCCAGCAAGGAAGAATAGTTGTTTCTAGGACAGAAAACACTTCTGACAGACACAATTCTGAATGGTTCGTCGTCCTCTCCAAAGAAGGGTAACGGCGTTGACGTAGCAGTGTCATCGCTGAGCTCTTACACCACGAGTAAGGATTTTCTAGACATGGAATTTTTTCTGACGAATCAATAATTATTGACGACTATTTACCCGCAATTTTGGTGGACTACACATCGAATATAAGATCCTAGGTGCTATTCGCCTGATACGTACCCTCCCTTTCAATAGCGAGAAGAAGGTCGGGCGCAGACCATACACCACAAGAGACGACGGCGTTTTTGCCAAGGTATATATTCTTCTACGGGAATATGCGTGTTGTAAGTGAATAAACGTTATAAATTAATGCAAAACAAGTAAGAAGTGATGTTGCTGGCTCGGAAGGAATTGGCGATATCAACTAGCCCGTATCATGTTCCTCAAAATCCATACCCTTCTTTCAAGCTAGAGATGATATAAGAAAAAAATTCAGAAAGTTCGCACACCACCCTTGTAGTCAAGAACTCATGGATATCGTAAACGTCAGAGCTCACCAGTAGCGAAGAAGATTGAGCTGAGAACGAGTACCATTTTCCCTCGCTGCCAATAGAGTTTTGACCGCAATGGAGAGCGAATTATTAGGAAGCGCTCCACAGAAACTGCTAGAATCAACCTAAATCACTGAAGCATTCACCAACATGGAAGGAAGGCGTTTTCCTTGACATCAAACTCACCAAATAGCAGCCGCGCTCATCCAATTAGCCACAGCTGCGATATGCTGCTTACTTCTGAGGTAAAAGAAGCGAAATACGTCGTTGAACGCCAGCGTATCATAGGAGGAAAGGGCATGCGGCAGCATAACGAGTAGAAACGCCAGGTCACAAAATGAGACCGCGGCCAGCTGAAAAAGGCAATCATGGAAATTTGGCCGTTTGCAGTGAGGTGTGCAAAGTTGCATTCGCTTCGAGAGCTTGTTCTCGAATCTATCTTCCATACGCGCTAAACGACTTTCTAGGAGAACTTACGAAGATGTTTTTTGCCATTGTTGTTCACTACTTATTACATTACCGCTTTGCCTTTGCACTCGCATGTCTCATCAAAGCAGTGGACTTGAGAAAATCGTCTATGGAAAACAAGATTCAAGCTTACCCATAATCAATGCCTTGAGACTCATATTCACGATAAGAACGAAAATAACAAAAATATGTGTCTGCACCTGCCAACAATTCAAAAAACTCGAGTCTCTGTTACGCGCTAAAGCTCCCGTCGTAAATCTGTCACAAATGTTGGCGTAGGAACCATTCCTCTTGGTTTCCGCGGTTCCAATAGGATCTCTTTTTGGGATCTTCCACCTATGGCAATAAGATTACTCTTTTCTACGGTATCCTGTTCCATCGGTCGTTTTTTTCCTATTCTCTGAAGTGAGCGCTTCGACCTGATTCTTTCCATGCATACGTGACCGCCCCCAGGCGCAATTCTTGCCATGTGTCCCCTTGATTCCGCCCGACCTACCCTCGACCGTCCATAGAGTGTGGTTTCGTAAATTTGTTTCTCTTCGGAAACTGAATCTTCTTGCGTGAAACTTTGTATGTTGTCTCTAGTGATCACAACTGACATATTCATGTTGGGAAAGAATGCAAGACATTTCCAGGGTCGGTTCCTCTAATGTCTTTATGGTAGTACCACAGTTATTCGTTGCCTGGTTTCACGAACGAAGTTATAAACTCGATCCATCTTCAAAAACTAGGTTGCTTTAATAAGCTAGGGCATGCATCACGACACGAGGGTGGAATAGTCAGCTTACGCATGAGCACAGCTCTAGCATACAACACATAGCAAGCGTGGAAACACTGAAATGCCTTCGCCACTTCGAACCACAGGCGAGTGCGCTGTCCGTCCTACAGCAGGAGCTAATAGCGCTGAACGCTTCATACTAAACTTATCATGAGCTTGCGTCGGTGGAATATCGACGCTTTCGGTGGAAATTCAGGGAAGTCCTGGCATGTGAGGACTTGCTTTTCGAGACCATAAAATAAGCCGATAAAAAACCATAAAGGCGAACCCTCTGCAAAATGCTTCAAGAGCCTATCAGAACATTCAAGTCACCTAGTTTCCGACGAAGAAGATTTCCAGGATAAAAACTATGAAGAATATTTTAACAAAAAAAAAATTACACGCTCTAGAGCAATACGTCGAAAAATTGGTCTCGCGACTTCAGAAAATGAAGATTAGAGTCGTCAATACGTTTTTGAAGAAATTTTCACAAAAACGGACTTCAAGAGTTAAGGATGGATCCGAGAATTCCTACAGCATATGATTTTTCCCATATTAGACGGCAGTATTATTGTATTTTCGGTATTATTATTTATTTATTTATTTATTTATGCACTCAATGGTGCGCTACAACAGGGCAGAAGGTGTAGTCCGGTACAAGTATGTTAGACGAAAAACAAACAAACAAACAATCGCTAAACTCGTATAACAGCTGAAGAAAAGGAAAACAAAAGAAGGAATCGCGCTCCCAGCATCCCAGGCCTGCCGTACACAAAAAGGACGACCCAAAGCAAGGTTAGCACAGAACTAATAACTACCTTCGTGTGTGAGGGGCTCAAGTAGGCAGTGACTACCTACAGATAGTTGTTAGACTTAATACTGAATGACGGCCATAGAAGTGCAGGTCAGTCTGGGCAACGCAACCAACCGAAGTTGTTCCCGGGCGGGCCAAAGTAGATGCCTCTTTGATCTAAACACGAACCCAGGGCGTAAGACCCAGACCCAAGTATTGCCCGAAGCATACTTGTTGACTCGCACCTGCAAACAATTTTTCGAAGGACTCAATTCCAAATCATAGTCGCCCCTTACTTTTTGAATTTCAGATGGCAGTACATAGTAATGAGGCTGACCAAATGAGCAATAGAGATAAAGTGCAATGAAGCGCGAAGCCTAGGAAGGTAGAAGACGCTCCATAATAAGCCGTATAGTACCAATTTGTTGTGCCGACAGTCAGATAGTTAGTAACATTCCCCGTAGCTCACAAATAAAAGATATCGAAGGAGGACTATTATCCACTAGTTCTACTCAGCAGGACGGCAACCCACTACTCGAGAGCAGCAACATGCTATCCATCCCAGTTCGGCATATTGTGCGGCCACGACAAGTAACTAAGGAAAAACCGACAAACGCATCATAAACATTCCTGAAAAATTTGGTCATCAGTAATCTAATCTCAACATTTCTGCAGATTGAGTTCACTCAATTTTTTTCTGAACATGTTGGCACTGGATGCTTCCAGAAGCTCATCTAGAATATGGCTGAGCCATCTTACCGAACGGAAGAAGAAAAAGTTGTTGAATAGTAGAGCATAGTTTTGAGACAAAAATCCTTGCATGATGTATCCTTGAAGCCGCTTGAACTATCATTGATAATCACACCAAGCTATGGTGCGGTAGTTTTTCACTGCAATACCATTTACCTCATAAACTCTGGAGCGCCTTCACCAATTTTTAATACTGACATTTGTCGAGGGTTGCAGACAGCCCCCAGGCAGCCCAGTCGGTCTGTTTCACTATCGAATTCTTTGAAGCAGTGTTTTGTTATGAGGATTGTAAGAAGCATGAACCTTAATATCATTTGCGCTACATTTGAACCTTGATTTCGGGAGACGTTCTGATAAAAGATGTGTAGCTATACGCTACCTTGTATATATGTGGTTAGAAAAACTGTTATTAGCATTTTGAATAATTACTTTAGAAATCATTGACATCGTAATATTCTTAGTGTGCTTTCAGAACATGTTTTTGTGCTTGCCAGCTGCCGTTGAGGAGACGCCTTTTTGAAGTCACAGCTGCACATGGAGACTGTCGGCACTGTATATAAGCCTCCCATGATGACTCACGAGGCTTCTTGGCTTCTTGGCTCCTGTCTTCTTCGCTTCATCGTTGCTGGCTCCGTGCTCCGTATTCAGCTGGTTCGAAGTCGTCTTCTCGAAGGAAACAATACTCGTCCCTCAATAGTAGGTTCCTTTGATTGAACCTATTTCTGTACTTATTCTAAAGCAGCCATTTACAGATCCACTTCATCACCTACTCGCTTAGTTCGTACTTGAATATTTAGTTAATAAATATTAGTTAATATTATTGTCTATTCTCTTTAGACAATAATCAATAACCGTACCAAGAAACGAATCAATATCCGCGTGGCCAGTACAAGTACTGTAAGGCGAGCTCAATACAACCCCCCAAGGCTGCTAAATTGGTGCATCGACCTCCTACGAATTCAGGTCGGTTCCATATTTACTTTACCGGAAAATTCTCCAGCGGTTGTTTTCGCACCTTTTTCTTTTTGACCAACCGCATTTCTTCTTTTTTCCATTCGCTGATTTTTTTCCTCTCTTCCAATACTCGAGTCCGTTCTCACCAATACTGTCCCACTCTTCTCTTGGGCCAATATTTGACGGGCAATATACATTCATAAATTCGACTCAAAAGGATCCATTTTTTGAGTGAGAATGTCTACTTTGATTGCTACTAAGAAGCGTCTTCTCTCAACTCACGTCAATAAACTCGAGCATTTACTTACTAAGCTAAAAGAAGCGAATCTCGAGGATACTCCACTGGATCCCACCTTGTCGCGCGATGTTAACCTGGCGCATATTAATGAATTGGAAGAGGGTATCAGCGTCACTGAACTTTCAATATCGAAAGTAGAAAAGGCTCTGAGTGACTTAGCCTCACTATTTGACAGCCCTAATCTTTCCGGTGTGGAACCTGGCGATTTTGAGGAGTACGTTAGCAAAAGCGAACTGGTCCTAACAATGGCATTTGATTACCAACTTCTTCTTCAAGCGCGGCTGCGAGCTCTTAGATCTTCAATAGCTCAGCCAATAGTTGCTTCAGTGGAGCCCAATATGCTTCCCTCAATAAGACAGGCCAAAGTCAAGACTCTGGAGCTTCCCCCTATTCCTATACCTACTTTCGGAGGAAATATCTGGGAATGGGATAGTTTTTGGGGAATTTTCAATACCAATATCCATTCCCAAGACATCCCGGATATGGTCAAATTCAATTACCTCCTGAACGCTCTCAAAGGAGAGGCCAGAGATTCCATCAAGAAATTCCAGGTTACGGGGGACAATTACAATAAAGCCATACAGTTTCTCCACGGCAAATACAACAATAGGGAAGCTTTGATTAATGCACTAGTGGAGAAACTTGACAATTGTGCTTTACGTGGACAGACAGTAAAGGATCAACGTCATCTCTTGGGACAGCTTCAAGTCATTATTACCCAATTAGAGGAGAAAGGGGAGGACGTTGATAGCTCTTGGCTTATCAAAAAGGTTCTGTGTAAGTTCCCTGATGCGCTTAAGCGTAAAGTGATAGCGAAAAAACAAGGAAGCGCATCAACTACCCCTTTTTCGATGAGCTTACTTTTTCAATACCTTGATGAGGTGATAAGCACGGAGGAATTGTTTCTGATGTTTTCAGAAACGAGACCCAAACAGCCCACGAAGGAAGGTACTACTACCACCAATAAATCAGGTCCTAAAGGCCTGATCAAGGGACTCTGCATGTACTGCAGAGGGAGGCACCCACCTCACTACTGCACCAAATATGCCACCCCACAAGAGCGATCGGCCTACCTTCGGCAGCATAGCCTTCTGTCTAATATGCGCTTCTCCTTCTCACAATACCAGTCAGTGTAGGGGGCGCATGTGCTTCAAGTGCCAGGGAGCTCACCACACATCTTCCTGCTTCAGAGCCAATAACAAAGGTTACTCCTCCGGCCAGATCTTCCATTACTAAGGATATCCGAAATGCAGGAAGTGGCCCAGTAGATGCGTCAAGAAAGGAAAAGGTT